TAGTTTTAGTTGTTTTCGTCTTTTTTGGTTGATTTTCAAGTTTTTGGCAGTTGATTTTGATTTTTTATTTTTTTATCCAATTATATGACATGCTGGAAAAATAAAAATCAAAAAATATGAATTAAAAACATTAGTTGATGTATTTTTAGTTGTTTTCGACATTTTTAGTTGATTTTGATTTTTTTATAGTTATTTCAATAATATGTAGTAATTTGTCAATTTGGTAAATTAGTTGGGAAAAAATTCGTTTTGGATTCAAAATAAATGATATGAAAAAAAAAACGAATCATTTGGTTGATTTTCAGAAAAAAATTAGTCGATTTTGAAAATATTATAGTTGATTTTGGAGAAACAAAACTAAAAAAATGTTGAGAATAATATTTTTTAGTTATTAAAAAATATTTATAAAAAATATTTAAAAAACATTTTTTTTAAATAAACAAAACGAAAATTAAAATGGAAAATAGAAAAGAAATTAAAAAGGTATGTGCAACAAATAGTAGGAAAGGGTAAATTTGATAATAAATAAAAGTTGGGTTTATCACTAATAAAGAAAAAGTGACTAGATCCATCATTATTAAAAAAATGTTTGAGGGGTTTTTCATTAATAGTCCCTTAATTTTAAGAGTAATTAAACTATTATTTTATTGGTAATAAATAAAATAGGTAATACTCCCTCCGTTCCCTATTAAGTGTCGTTTTTGGCTTTGCACAAAGATTAAGAAGCTCAATAAATGTGTTTTGATTTTAGGTAAAATATATTAGAAAGACTAAAATAACCTTGATTATTTAATGATGTGATAAGAGAGAGTTAATACTTATAGTTGAATTAATAAGGTTAAAATAGGAAAAAATGCATTTAATGCAGTATTGAAATCTAAAGTGACAAATAATATGGAACAAAAATATTTTTAAAAAGAGACAGTTATTATGAAACAGATGGAGTAATATTTTGCGAAGTAATCAAAATTTTCATTGCGTGTAAGTATTTATTTAAATGTTACTCTCTCCGTTCCAAATTAACTGTTACTTTGGGGAGTTTTTCTTGTTCTATATTATCTGTCACTTTATAATTCCAATGATGCATTAATTACTGTTTTTGCAATTATGCCCTTATTAGTTATTACTCTTAATTAATTGAGATATAATTAATTACATGAGTATTTTAGTCATATTATATGTCTTTTCCTAAAACCCATACGTATTTATTAATTTTCTTAATATGTGCGTAACTACCTAAAACGTCAATTATTTTGGAACGGACGGAGTAAATATACTTTGCACTGAACTATGTCATCTGCCTCAAATACCCCATAAATGTAGATATATTTTGGGGGTATTAAGATATAGGTTTCTGATGACAAAATTAATTCAAACTAAATGACAAGTTCAACTAAACATTTGCTTCACATCTTTTGTTAAATTCATTTCCAAAATGCCACTCCACTCACAAATTAGAAATTTGCATCAAGTAAAATTAAAACTGCATTTATCATTTTTTATTATGCATTTAATATCTTCATTTTTTCAGCTAACATATTTTATTTTGTTTTTACAGACTTTATCATCTTTGTTTTTTCGTTTTTCACTCTAGCATATTTTACATTATTGTAAAAACTTATTTTTTTTCCTTATTTTCATTTTATTGAAAATTACGAAAAAAAATTCTGTTCGTTTTTGTTAAATAATACAATAGATTTAAAAAAAATACTATGGTGTACTACAGTGTACTATGATTTACTATGGTGTACTATTTTGAACCCTATCCGCCAACAACTCCCAGCCGTCGCCAACCCTAGCAGCCAACGCAGCCGCCGCAACCATACTCACCTACTACCTGTCGGAAAACCTATATCTGCCATTTTGAACCCAAGCCAAACAAAATCTCTTGAAAAAAAGTAAGAAAATCAAACTCAATTAGTCGAAAATATGGTTTCAGTAACATAACCACAGCCCCCTGCCGCCGCCACCTGCACCACGACTCCACCCACCACCGCCGCTCCACCACGACTCCACCCGCCGCTCCCGCTCCTACTCAACATCACTTTACATAAAAAAAAAAGAAAAAAGAAAACTGCATATCATATATATGACTATACATGACTACACAGTGTATGACTACATAGGTGATTCTCTCTAATTGGCCTGTTGTTGCCCATCTTCTTCAACATGTCGACTTTTTTGACTACAAAACAATTTTATACAAGAAAGCAACAGAAAACACCATAAAAGAGACTGGGAGAAAGATACTTTAACCTCAGAATTCGGCGGCGGCGGACGACTCAAAACGATTGATCAAACCACAAACATACAAAAATCGAAACAAATAAAAAAGTACCCAAAAAATAAATATTCTCTTACTTTGGTCTCAGATCTCGTAGGGCCGGCAAAATACTCGACAATGGCTCCTATCTATCGTCTTCCCTGACTTTGACCTCTAATCTCACGGCGACGGCGACAGAGGACTGCACAATTTTAAGGATCGGCCGGAGGAGGAGCGGCGCTAGACGGAGGGGGAGGAGTTGTGGGTGGTCCTGCTTCAACACCTAGAAGATGTAGATGTTGTACGTCTCCACGCTCTTCTTTATCCTCTTCTTCTTCTCTCCGCCGACGACCGCCTTCTTTTCTGCTGCCATGGGAGCCCTTTTTTGTCGCAGGAATTTGGCGAGAGAGAGTTAGTGAGAGGGAGAGATATCGGCGTTGTGGGTGGGAGAGGAAGGTTAGGAGGTTAGGACATTCATTGAATTAAAACTAAAAGAGCAAAACATGTACTGTAAGTTGCCCAAAGGATCTCACAAATTAAGATCAAAATTTGAATTTTTGACTAAAAAAAAATCTCATTGGACCTCTTTATATTTATTTTTAAAACTAGGGGTATGACACATTTACCCATAGTTTAATAACATATTAAATGAAATTATGATATGCATGCGGTGATCACTCATAAAGCAAAAGAGGGGTGTATCACTCCTAATATAATAACCTAACGAGTTGGAGGTTCTCACCAGTATTCCCTATTATATATCTTTTAGAAATAAATTTTGATATAAAGCTTGGAAATAACTTCAATATAGTATAATCATCCCACGATTCATACAAAATAAAAAATAAAAAATAATAATAATGCTAAAAAGATTTATGTCTATAATGTCCACAAAGATTAGTTTCATTGCAATTAATTTATGACAGAGATAGTAAATCCAATGCAATCCAATCCGACTTGCTGCAACTAGTTGCGGTAAATTAAATGCTATACCTGGTATTTATATCATGTGGATTTGAACAGTAAATCTAATTACACACCCATGTCTAGGTGTAATAAGTGTGTAGTTATTTAATCAAATATGGGGTTGAAATATAACTAGTATAAAGAATCAAGTGTAACATCTAACTCCTCTAGCTAAGCCTCGGTTACCGAAAAGAGTGACACGATTAGAAGTCCTCATTAATGTTATGCATGTTTCCACCAACTTTATATTAATTTTTATTCTTATTTGTTTCATCTTTTAACTATATATATAATTCACAAGGCAAGGAATTCAGGATCCACCACCACATCACAAAGAAATAATGAAGTTAATGCTGTTGTTTTATCTCCAGTTTGTGCTACTGCTGCTGCTTGCGAGCACTAGTACTACTACTACTGCCGCTCAAAGTAATGATGAACAACTATCTCTAGCCCCACTTCCTACTCATACACACCACCACCACCACCACTATCCACCTCCCTATCACGGCCACTCACAACCACCTCCCTACTATTCTCCGCCGCCCCATCACGGCCACTCACCACCAAAATCTCCCAACTATGCTCCACCACCCCATCACGGCCACACAAAACCTTCACCCAAGTATGCTCCGCCGCCCCGTCACCACTACCACCACCCCACCACGCCTCCTCCAACACACAGCTATACACCACCACCACCACCTAGTCACAAACATCATTCTCCACCGCCTCATGGACATGGCCATGCACCACCACCAACTCATAAGCACCCTCCACACCACCATCACAAGAATCCTCCTCCACCACCACCACCACCACCACCCACTCATCATCATAATAAGCATCCCCCACCCCACCACAGGCACCCCCCTGCCCCAGTTCCTATTTATCCTCCTCCACCATCACTTTACCCACCTCCATCGCCACCAGTCTACTCATCTCCACCACCGCCACCATCTTACACGTCTCCACCGCCGCCAGGCTACTCACCTCCACATCATGGCCCCACACCACCTCCTCCGTATAAACACGCACCGGCACCGCCACAAACATACTCACCTCCTCGTCATGGATATAAACACAAGACACCACCACCGCCATACTACTACTGATCGACGTCGGCCGGGCTGCCATGATCCACTCCTTAAAGCATGACGAAAATTGGAAAGCTCTTGTTTAGTATTTACTATTAGATATATAGTATGTGTGTCTTCGTGTGTTTCTGTCTGTAATGGTAATTCTAATAACCGTCGATCGACCTTCTTTCGAACCATCAACCTAGTATTTACTCTCTCTCTCTCTCTCTCTCTCTCTCTCTATATATATATATATATATATATATATATATATAT